TTTTTTTTTTTTTTTTTTTTTTTTTACTGAAGATCGAACTCCCATCCTTGTGCTTGCAAGACAGGAGCCGGAACCACTGAACTAAATCCCCAGCCCTCTGAAAAACTTTTTAATTCATTTGTTAAAGTATATATGTTAACATTACAAAATAGTTCAGAAGAGAGGAAACTTACAAACTTTACATGTCAGGGATGAGTAGCATTGAATTGTATACAATCAAAACAATGGAGGATTTAACTGAAATTTTTAGATATGCATTTGTTTTAGGTATGTAAATATTGGATGATATATTTCTTGTTTCTTTTAGCTATTTCCAGCTGGTATTGGGAATTGACCCAGAGCCTTTGTTGTGATCTTTATTCCTAATACTTTTTATTTTTGAGACAGGTTTCATTACGTGTCATACAGGCTGGACTGGAGCATGCATTCCTCCTGCCTCAGCCTCTCAGGGTGCTGAGATTACAGGCTTGTACAACCATTCCCAATAACTTCAGCTATTCTTAAAAAAACAACCGAGCATAGTGATACACACCTATAATCCCAGCACTGAGGCCAGCCTGAACTGCATATTGAGACCCTGTCTCAAAATGAAAGAAAAACAATGATTTTACATTTTTTTCAAAGTGAAGCTTTACCCTGGGATTTAGCTCAGTGGCGCCGCTGCCTGCCTTCTTGCAAGCATAAGGACCTGAGTTTGACCCCTGGCACCCCCAAAAAAGTGAAGCTTTAAATGATAGTAAAATACCAATAATCAACATTTCTTAGGCTACAAAACAAAATCCTTGGCATTAGTAAAATACTCTTTCTTGAGAAAGACAATAGAGAAGCCAGGCATGGTTTACACAGACCTTTGATCCTAGCACTGTGGGAGGACGAGGCAGGAAGATCAAAAGTCAGAGGCCAACCTGAGCAATTTAGCAACTTGCAGATTCTGTACTTTTTAAAAGGGCTCCAGAGCCGGGGATTTAACTCAGTGGTTTGGGCACCTGCTTTGCAAGCACAAGAACCAGAGTTCTCTGCCCAGTACCAAAAAGGAGGGAGGCAGGGGCTCCATACAGAGGCCTTAGGTTCAGCTACCAGTACCTAAAAATTAAAAAAAATAATAATAATAGACAATATAGAGTAATGATTATGAACCAGTTTCACCCTTTGATCTGTGTACTTAACCTCTCTGTGCCATTTCCCCACGAAAAATATGATTGTTACAGCCATTGAAGTACTTTATATAACATTTAGGAAAGTACTGGGCAGACTAAGTGCTTGATGTTAGTTACTAGTAAGCCATTTTAATAAAAACCCCACTGCATTTTTTTTTTTTTTTTTTTTTGAGACAGGGTCTCACTATGTAGTTGTGACTGAACTGGAACTCACTGTGTAGCCCAGGCTGGATCCTCCTGCCTCAGCCTCCCAAGTGCTGGGATTATAGGCATGGGCCACCACGCCCAGCAAAACCCTACTACATTTGAATGAGTCCACTTCTTGGTTCTACCACAATTGTTCTTAAACTAGAATGTGGTTGCAGGATCCGAGTTCAATCCCAGATACCAAAGAAAAAGATACAAAGAACTTGGCCCCGGGGATTTAGCTCAGTGGCGTCACACCTGCATCACAAATGCAAGATCCTGAGTTTGATCCCCGGTACTCCTCCCCCACAAAAAGATACGAAGAACTCTATAAAATATAAGCTATGAGGCAGACTCTTGAATCTTGCTTCTCCACAAAATACCCAAGAAATACAACTTTGTTGTTAGATTTTCATAAAAATATAATATCAAACTATTAACCAAAATAGCACTTGAGTGTTTATTATAAAAGTTACATATCTACTTTACACTACTTGTAAGTACAGAAAGATGGAAAAATATATCCATATTCTACCACCCAAAGAAAGTTGTACGGGTGTCTTACCAAAACTAAGTATATTGCTTATAAATCTTAAAAGAGTATCTACAATAAGCATGACAGGTACAGAGATGAACAGGCTAAAAGAGCTATCATATTTGAGGCATTATATTGGGAAAAACACATTCCTGTATCTTTTAGCCAGGTGTGGTAGCACATGCCTGTGATATCTGTCCTGGGGGGCTGAGGCAGAGGGTCACAGGTTGAAGCCCATCCTGGGGAATTTGGCAAGACTTGAGTAAAAACAAAAAGGCTGGGGATGGAGCTCAGTGTGAAGGTCCTGGGTTGAGTTCCCAGGACTGCCAAAAAGAAAAGCACCCTGCATTATTAAAATAAGTTTAACACAAAGCCTTAAACTAGGTACCTTATTTTCAAATTACTTTTCCCGGGTACCACATAATGTCAGATAACTCAACTTTAGAATCGACAAAGCTGTGCTGTACTGTAATACTGACATTCTCAGGTGATGTTATTTCCAGTTTATGGCACTAAGCATCTTAATGAAAAATACATTATCACCCATGACTTTGGTCTCTAAGAAGCTCTGGCATGTGCTGTATTCTAAAACCTTGAGATCATCAAAGGGCATTTAAAAACCAAACATTGATAACTAAAACTGCAGATAAAGTTAAAAAGCATCTCCTCCACTTTGTGAGAAGATTAGCAGCACTTGTTTCTTAATTATAGTTCTTGGCCTCTTTCACTTTAAAAAAGTATAGGAAGATGCTCTCCTTTGTAAGGAACAACATTTTTAGGCTTGATTTATGATATTGGCTTCCTTAAATGTAATGGCTGAATCAGCTCTTTACATCATTAAAACTAAAGCAGAGCTGTGATTGTATTATTGGTTCAAAAGCTA